CGAAATCCAGATTGGATCGGTGGTATAATTTTGTTGGTCATAACAAATTCCGAGATTTGCTGCCTTATGACCATTTCCAATAATTTGGAGAGTATTGGTAAAATACTGATTGGTCTCAGATCTTTAATATCTTCTATTACAGATACCTTGGGAATTGGGATGATTTTTGAAATCTTCCACGCTTCTGGAAAAACGGAGTTTAATAAACAAAAGTTAATAATATAGGTAATGTGGTACAGTAGATGATCCTCAAAAACATATAGCATTTTCTTGGAAATACCATCATGTCCTGCTGCATCAGATTTAATGCTTCTTATGTTTTTTGAAATTAATGCAGCATCCCGATATGGTTAATTGACACACAATTTTCAGGTTTTCGATTAAAGTAATGAAAATTAGTTTAAGAAACCGTTACATATTTGGAAAATAACAAAAAATACAACTTCATTCGATGGCGCTTTATTGAGACACTCGGTATATGAAAAAAACGTTACATGAAAAACTTTATATAAGACTCTATAACTTTTATATGCAACTTTTTTCCTCAAGAATCCCCTGTGTGGACATATAATACAGTTCTTTTTATTTTCCGTGAAAAACAACCTTGGACATACTGCTCCAAATTTTGGACAGTCTAGCCAGGTGCACGTAATTCGGTATAGTATCGGCAACAGAAGCTGCTGTCGCAGGCCGTCCATTGTTTAGAAGAACAACTGAGATGATTCATATGATACAAAGAAAATATGAAAGTTTACATCAGAAACTTTATCGTTAACTAAATGTGAGGTCACGCATTTAAGATCAGACGTTAGCTGCAGCGTGCAAAGGCACTTTTTGTACCAAAAAGCCATTTTCGCTGTTCGTTCGTCAACCTTAGATTGTCATGTGGCTATGTGAAAAGTCATCCATTTACATGCGCAGCTGGAAAGTATAAACCGATTCCATTTCACCTCTTTTGGTAAGACATGACTTTCTGTCAAATAACCTTGTGAAAGTCAAAAATAATAATTTCTCCATTTAACCTCAGGCAAGCATTAGTCTAGTTGTCTAGTCTACCGACTTTCACTACTAATACGGCTTCAATTTGCGAAAGTATCCAATTTTCCTAGTCAGTTAACTGGTATTGTACCTATTTTCAAACGTTTGAGAATATGCAAAGGGTGGGTGATGTAATTTCCATTGTAGAAGGGTAAAAAGGGGGCATTTTTAATGTCTTAAGACAGCACTGATTCAGGGAACATGACAACTTTCGAAACTTGTGTTAAGGGACGCTATGCCATCCTTATATTGATTGTTTGCCCAGAGAAAATTGGAATGTTAGGATTAGGCGTTGAGCCAAGTGGCCAAAAATGGACAAACGGGTTTCCTTTCGGTGGAGTAAACGTAACCTACAAATTTAGATTTGTCATGAAGGTAGAATAAATGTTTGGTATGATACTTTGTAAAATTCGGTAGCTTAGTGACGTTATGACCTGACAAACATGACCGCTCGGCGAAAATCGTAATTAACCATTTCAAGTCTGATTCTACCTGTAAGGAGTATCATAAAAATTTTGATTCAGCATAACGCTAGAATTAATGTTTGTCATGGGCGTCGTTAAAGGGGGGCAGGGAGGCAGCTAACACTTTTTTATTTATCTTATCTTCCTGCAGTTCTTCTATGCTGCCCCCCCCCTATTGATGTTGGAGATGATACTTTGTAAAATTGGGTAGGTTGGTGACGGGAGGATGTTACAAAGATGGTCGCCGAGCAGATATCGGCCTTGTTATTCCAACTAATAGTCAACTTTTGCCTTTTTATTTCAGATAATAATATGGATTCCAAGCCAGACTCTTCACCAGTGGCAAAAAAAGTAAAAATGGGAGATACAACCGATGAATGCATCATTCACTGTACTAGCGAATCATGGAAAACTCTCCTGAATGCAGCGACAATAAGGAAACACAAAAGATTGCTGGAAATTGCAAAGTCAGTTACCGGAGAAGAATTTTCTGTATTAAAGTACCACCGTCAATGTCGAAGCATCTTTACCATGAAATCTAAACTCGCTAGTATTACGGCTAAGCAGAACGCAACATTACCTGATGAACCATCGGTGTCTTCTACAGTGCGGTTACGTAAAAACTCATTACACCAAAATACGTCAGGACCAATTCTACCATTCATCTGCATTTTGTGTGAGAAAGAACAGAAGTACAAGCCGGGAAGTAGAACACGTGAGAAACTAGTGCAATGTGTAGAGTTGAGATCCAGTGATACGATCAAAGCCTATGCTATATCGAAAAATGACAGCAGAATGGGTTAGCTGAGACTATGTGCTTCGTTTCAGCAGAAGTAAAGTACCATTTTTCATGTTATCGTAAGTATACGCACAGTGATAGTTCAGCAAAATCATCTGAAATAGCAGAAACGACCCTAGAAGAACAGGAATATCAGACATATGCTATTGTGGAAGAAGCTGCAGTTAGTGAACTAACTAAGTATATGGAAGAACTACTTGATAATCCTAAAGTTGTCTTATTTACCGAGGTTACCAGCCGTTACGTTCAAAGTATTAAGAACAATGGAGTCTCAGAAGTGAAGTCGCACACCAAAAAAAACTTAAGACGGAAGTTGGAAAATTTGTATGGCTCCAAAATTGATTTTGTTTCTAACGATAGTGGTCACCTGTTAATGCTACCAAACAGTATGTCAAGAGATGATTTAGTTAGAATGAATGACCAATTATCTGCAAAACTGAAAGCAAAGTATCATCCAAATCATTGATTCTATCTTTTATGTTTGATTAAAACTTATACCATACTGTTAGTCCTCACAAGTTAAACCTGACCTTAGAACGGTATACTACGGTTTTCGCTTGGCGGTCATCTTTGTGACGTCATAACGTCACTTAAGCTACCGAATTTTACAAAGTATCATACCAAACATTAATCCTACCTTCATGTCAAATTTAAATTTGTATGTTTTGACCCCTTGCAAATGAAATCAGACCTAAAATGGTTAATTACGATTTTCGCCCGGCGGTCATCTTTGTGACGTCATAACGTCACCAAGCTCCCGAATTTTACAAAGTATCATACCAAACATTTATCCTACCTTCATGCCAAATTTAAATTTGTATGATACTTTTACTCCTTACAAATGAAACCAGACTTAAAATGGTTAATTACGATTTTCGCCCAACGGCCATCTTTGTGGCGTCCTAACGTCACTAAGCTACCGAATTTTACAAAGTATGATACCAAACATTTATCCTACCTTCGAGACAAATCTAAATTTGTAGGTTACGTTTACTCCCTAGAAATGAGACCGCTCATGCCCTCTGGCTTAACGCCTAGATCAAAGAGAGGGTTTCCCAAAGTAGCGGTTGCTTTAATCAAAAAATGCACTTTTAGAAAACCACAGCGCTGCACCGCGAATGTCGTAGGATAATTATTTACTGTGCTCCATACCATTAACATTTACTGATTATTGCGTTCGTGGATTTCTACGTAACCTTATACATCAATAAGTACTGACGTCCTGGTTACAGAGCCAATAAATATGACATTTCAGGTCAAATACTGACGGATAGCAGTAAATACTGATCGTATGATATTTGACTTATTTATTTTTAATATACCGAAGCAGCTGTGACGGCAGAATTTTGAATACGAGCTGCAGCTTTGAGGAACTTAAAGAAACTTTGTTAATCCGATTTTTGATCTGTCTAAGGCTAGTAGAACTGAGACAAGCCTGCTCAGGTAGAACGGTTCAAAATATCGATATCTTAGGGGCAAAGAAGCGGTCGTATCGGCCCGTTCTGGTTGTACAAAGTTCGACACGGTTAGGATGGGAGGCCGAAAACAGGCGGGTCTGTCTGCTAGGCATATCGTGCGGCGGCATCATGGAGGAGAGCTCCGAGGAGCAAAGCCCGTTGGCATAGCGGTAGAAGCGAGCTAGATCGTCGACAGCCCATCGCCGTCGGTGCGAAAGGGCCCCGAAACTATCCGTCAGAAAAGAGTCGTTGGTCAGCCGTACAGCCCTCCTCTGAACTCGAGGCAAGGTTTACCTCATTTTCAAGTTAGTACATTTATTCGCTCCAACCTTGATAATTCTATGCAACTGTTGACATTAATCGGTACATTAGTCTTTAAAACTTGGAAAAGCACATATTCCCGTAGCACTGACCGCGCTGCCACGTCTGACCGGGATAAGGCGACGTTGGCAGATCCACTACCGGTAGGGCAGGGAAAGAATGTCTATGGACTAATTGTATGGACCCGTTTGACTGACTTTTTTCTTACAGAGTCTAGTGTGTGCTGAACATAATCCTATATGAACTGCTAACGACGCTGCGTAAGAAGTGTCCCTGCTTGATACCATTTTTTTAAATAAAGTACGTTGTACAGCTCGACCGATTGATTTTTGCAAATGCTCAACATGGAACAAATTTTGACAATACAGAATTTAGCAAATTTTATTACATACACAAGTAACAGGTTCATAATTGTATATTAACCAACATAAAACTGATTTTGGCAGAATTTTATTTCTTTTGCTTTTTTATTCACAAACACTAGCATGTGTCGATAGTAGATATCGTAATTTGCCAAGTTTTTTTTATATTTGTGACACTAAACACTGGACTAATGTTTCAAAGGACCATATGAAATAATTTTATTAACAAATATTGTGTGAATTGTCCTCACGGCGATATCATTATTTAGCCCTACCAATTATTGCCCAAACTGACTCAGTTTCTGAAGAGTACCAGAATCATCATCAAGATGATAATTACAGGCGGTAAATATAGTCACGCGTACAGCCGCAAATGCTTAATTTGTAGAATAGCACTTATAAACTACTATACTAATTATTAGATTTGATGACTAGTAACTCCAACAATAGCGCACATTAACAGCAAGATTAATCTAATGGACATTTAAAAGACTTATCGATACTGACAAATAAAAGAAGCTATAATGTGTGAAAAATCATTAGTTTGAAGAAGTATACAATGAAGGGTGATCCACTGCTTCCGGCTCAGAGATTGTGCACCCATTCGGGTGAGGTTTGCAGCTATTGTGAAGTTTTTTATCCATCCAGTGAATTTGCGAAGGTGTTGGAGTAAACCTGTGTGACCAGTTGTTGAAATCGCATTTTCCATGAAGCTGTTTGTCGATAATTCGACTCAGGCGATATTTCTAGATGTTGGCCAAGCAAAATAAGGGAGACCTCCAATCGCTATTATACAACGAAGGCTAAGGCGGATGTGCCTGTCAAGTTTTTCGGCCAGCACCACCATGGATATGGAAAACCCACGCACACTTATGTCCGGTATGTGGACCCTAACTAACTGGAGTGTGTGCTGAACCTTTATTCCATTGAAACCTCAGGTTTGAATACCTTTTAAGCACTTTTGCTTAATTCTGATCATCACTATTAGAAGCTGAACACACATATGGTTTGTTCGTACAGTAGTTGGTAACTTGTCGGTGACCGTCAAAATCAGGATCAGAGAGATGTTACCTGTTCGTACAGTTTCCGACTGCCGACAGCTAGTCCGCTGTTCGTACAGAACCTTCTGACAGGTCAGAGAATGCGATTCAGTCAGAGACATTGACAGATGTCAGAGTGTGTCGAAACTATCTTCAGGTCTAATATTACGTCGCAAAAGGCATTTACTGATCGATGACTCTTCTCTAACGGACATGCTGGGGCACTTTCGCACCGGTGGGCCGTCCGCGATCTAGCTCACTTCTACCACTAAGATTTGCTCCTCAGAGCTCTCCTCGATGATGCCGCCACCCGATGTGCCTGCCAGATGGACCCGCCTGTTCTAAGTTCTATTAAACTTAGCCAGTTTAAACATCGGATTATCGAAGTTACTTTAAGCTCCTCATAACAGCCTCGCTGCCCTGGCGTTTAGGCTTTGCCTGTGTGGCTGCTTCGGAGTGAAAGAAACTATGAGCGATAAACCAAGCAGCGAAAATTCCGAGAATGAAACCCAAAAACCTGAATTTTGTGGAGGAATTAGTGCCACAATTTCAGCAGTGAGTTTTTGTAACATTTTCGAGTGAGCAATACAGTCGCAGAAAAAAATTCAGTGAAATTCCGTCATGGTAACTATTTTAAGTATCAGGCAGCGCCATATGGAAAGCTAGCTCCGTATACAGAAACCTGTACATTTTTATGGTTTGCTGGATATCAAACAGCCATTTTCAGGGATATAGTTGATAGGGTCAATGTTTTTGTGGGTACCCTGCTAGCAGTTATATCCAGATTGACCAACTTTTTGAGTAGTCTGGCACAAGAAATCGTAAAATGGTCAACAGAAGAAGAAAGACGTAGGACAAAGCGGTATTTCTACAATAAAATATAGATTTCCTGGAATCGTTGGCAACATTGACGGAGGCCATATAAAGATTGAAAAAACAGAGGATCCTCTGTAATCATATATTAATAGAAAAGGATGCCTCTCTATACAGGTTGGTCTAATTATGGGAATGTATCGATCCACCAAGTAAAGTTACTAATTTCTGAATACACTCAGCTTACCCAGCATTAATTTAAAATAACTGTTATATTTAGCTTCGATCGTATGTAATCGTTCCTTCCATACTCTAGTTTTCGTACATCTCGAAAATACGTGTGTATTTCCATGACATAACTGTTTTCATTAAAATTATTTTCATTCCGGAGGCAACTTATATGCGACCAAGATTTGAAAATTTTCAGTACGTTCAATGGTTATCCGGGCTCTGTACGTGATGTTAGGGTTTTCAAAACGTGACCAGTTGTTCAAAGACTGGATCAGAATTGTGGTACCAATCACATACTTGCATAGCTCTTGTTACCCAACCTTTTAATTCCATTCCAAGACCTTGGCCAGTTATCATCCAGACAACTGTACTATAACAGAAAACATTCTTCACATTGCATTCTAGATTCTAGTAGAGCACTGCAATGGCCGTGTGAAGCAAAAAATGTAGGTAACTCTACCACATTAAGAAGCATCAGATAGACAGTGCATTTCATGCGATCGTGATAATTTTGCACCTGAGCACACTGAAAATGATGATGATAATAATTACCTCAAAAATCCTCCATCAGAGCGAAGGAATGTGGCAGAGAATAGCGGTGGCACTCAAAAGAGGAACTGAATTGTTGCGCTGTGAAGTTAATTATACATATATTTGGCTATTAGTTGTCCCCACTTTAAGTTCTTTATATGACTATAAGGTCTAATATAGAATTATCTGTTTTCAATACGCGTTTCAAAATACATGTATCCATATTTGATGCAATCTCAAATAAGCTATCCAAGTGATTCGTGCTCAATATTTTGTTTATTGGCCGTGTAATAGCAGAAGTACGATACCTAGATTAGAACATTAGTGGAGAAAACTTTCAAGAACCACAATAATTAATACTATTTTTTAGTGAACACTAATTTTTACAAAAAGTTTTGGTTACAGTTACAAAATGCGGAAATACACGATTAGTTTGTTCCTACCTGTCTTGCTAGTTGTCGTGTTGATCAACCTTGCCATCACAGATATTTATATTTATTCATATTTCTGTTTGTTGTATGTCTCGAGAGTAAAAACGGGACTTGACTTATGCTTTTCATCTTATGAGTTTTTGTATTTTCGTAGTCTCATTTGTGAGCAGATCTTGGTAATTGTAGTTATGCTCTGCCGTTTAAGCTTTTTAGTGTATATTCTCCTTTTGCTACTCAAAGATGTTATTAAGTCCTTGTAGTACTTTTACTTCTTTATTCCAGTGAGAGTTTGCACGTATAAGGAAAATATTTTTAGTACAGTATACGAAAATGCTCAAGGTTGACAACCTGCCAGTTCGCCATTTCCAAAGACAGTCGGCCACTCCGGTCCCCTAAAAAATAGCTGTATCACAAAATCTTCAAAATTAGCCATTTTGTTTTTTTTTCGATCAGCTCTGGGTTCGACTGGAGCTAGAATATACATACTGTTTGTGCGAATACTTCAAGGCTGGGCGACAACTGTTAGGGAACATGAAACAAAAACCCTACTACCCTAGTTTTATAAAAACACATTTACATTGTTCATGCGTACTCGTCGCAGACGTTTTTTCAGAATTCTTACTTTTTGCTCCATCAGCTTGTCATTCGATGTATGGAATCACATTCCTCCGAATTTATCTCCATACTTTTTAAATGAGAATTGAATAGAAATTACTGAGTAAATCTACTTGACATTTTTGGGTGTTGTTGTTTTTTGTAGGAAGTGTTATCCACTCTAGAGGAAAGTTCAGGCACTTCCGGGCAATCCTAGATCTTTCTAGTTTGCAGAAAATGAAAATACCAGAGCTTTTCCAAAATTGTCTATCTCGTGCTGAAAAATGTTACATTCGAATAATGATTCTGCTTGATTTCGAGCTCTGACAGTGTACTGGACAATAATCTGCGGAATAATTTGACAATCATCAAACAGTCAAAAGTTTCTGTACGAACAGTGGATCAGTTGTTGGTAATCGGTCAAAGCTCCCTCAGCCAACTCGTAACGTTCTCGTATACGCAATCTATACAGTCAGTGATGTGTCAGTAACAGCTAATTGATTAAACTAGGTCACGACTTGTCGTCAACTGTCAGTTTTCTGATTGTCAGCCAACAGGCTGTACGCACAAACCAATAAACGTTCGATAAATCCACTGGTTAGTACAGTGCATCGTCTTCCAGTACTATATAGGTCCAAAACTGTATTTTGTTATCGGAAATTTAGAATAACATGTATTTTCTTGGTAATCAGTTTCCCTTCAATCATAGTACCGACGATATGCCCGAGGTAAAACAACAACTCTAGACGTTAAGAGCAACGTACGATTACTTTTATCGAGTGCTTCGTTTTGGATCACATCGCATCTGATTCCTCAAACATTCTCTACTAACTTATGATAATAGTAAAAGCAGATTTTGAAAAGCAGATGCATTTCAGAATTTTATCTAGCTTGCTTTGCTTGTTGGTACGTTTGTTGGTATGTCAGAAAGTGAGGGACATATCTTGAAACTGAATTTTGAACTAGTTAACTTTAAAAAATTGAGCTGTAATTTTACATACATGTTTGATTCGCGTGAAAATACAAAATATATTAAGTGCCTCCCTGATTAATCCAATATGGCGGATGCTACAGAATGTCCATTTATAATTTTGTAATATCACCTCCAATATGTGTAACAAATGAAAAGGTTCTATGAGTTGAATATTATCAGCAATGTTATTTCATTCGATCGAACTGGGACCAGGTTTCCCTAGGAGCAATTAGGGTCCAGCTTGATATAAGCGGCGTAAATTCACACACTCATGCTGAGAGGAAGCCGATATAAAAAGCTATTCCTTGTAAATACTAAATAGCAAAAAATAAATAAAATAAGAAAATGTATTTTCAAAAACAATGTTTTATTTATCTGTTAAACCCAACGAATTTAGACTAGGTAGAAGGAGCCAGTCAAGGATCTGTTTGCCTCCTAATTCTTATAGTCAGTAGTAAGGATCAAAGTGCACTTGGCATAAGTAAATTTTTTAAGTTCTGTCATTAGATTTGTATATTTAGTATTGTTTGTTTTTTTAAAGTGAATGTAACTGCGGTGCTAGACGATTTGAAGATATAGTACTTCTTACAAACATAATAAAGATGGATGATTCCACAGGTATTATAAGTATGTTCTTAAAGCGCTATCACTTTGGTAAAACCGTAGGTTAAGCCGAACAAAAAATTGAGCAAAAATCATTTCCGAATGGAAATATGCGATACTATACTTATAAACCTTTAAACAATAGTAAAGTTCCTTCACTTCAGAATTTCACGTAAACGTGTTTCATCCTTTTTCTCTCTCTATGGTAAACATAGTATGGTTTTTTTTAAAAGCTTGACACGAATGAGCTTCATTACTGTTTATAGGTTTAAAAGTATTTACAAATGATAGTTCTAACAGCTAAGCAAAAGCTTATTTTGGAAAATGTATTTTTTTATTTTAATTAATTAGCCATAAAGTTTATTTTGCGCCACCCTGTACTGTATTCACATTAAATTTTGGCGCAATCTGTGTACACAATAATGTATAACTTGTACTAAAAGTACTCCAAGAAAGCATATGAAATTACGGTACGTTCACCGTTACATCGACAACAAAAGCCAGTGAACTATTTTAAATCAATCTTAAGAGCTTTGTGACAGCAAGCGATAAACTAGCTGAAAAATACTAGCATGCCACAACTTATCGCTTTTTTACCAATTCTGTCATGCATTACACCAGTATGGTACCAATACCCTCATCGTGCGCTAGCATGTCGAGATCATAAAAGTTTGCTTCCTTAGGGATTAGTGTTTACCTTGCCAAAATAAGAAAGTGGTGGGCAGCTCAACCATTCAATGGGCCACTCTAGGTACTGATAACAAGAGAGTAGTTTTCTAACTTTTCAATAAATATCTGTCATTAGTAAAGTTTAGCTCATTACGGTCCATCTTCGACTGGCCAAATGTCCGACTACGGTGAGAACCTTGAGAGTGCAGGAACTTACACCGACATGTTGCAGACCGATCCTGTTTCAACCGAGTTGCCACCAACGTATGCTGTTACAGAGTAAGAAGATGAGAACTACAGTCCTCCAACGGAATTAAACCTTTATGGAAACAACTTTGTGGTGAGTAGAAGGAAAATTTATTCTAGTTTTATTCATAACCAAAATCACAGTCATATTCAAAACCTGTTACCACTGTCAGGAAGAGAAACAAAATAAGTTAGGCATTTTAACTAGTAATATACATTTAGTATCGAATCGAATCGAAAACCTTGTGTGGTCTTATTGCGATAGTGGTATTTTACTTCAAGGATTTTTTTACTCTTTTTAGCTTTCAAAAGATCTAGACAAATATATCTTATATCTTGGAAATTGCCGTTACGTGAAAGTAGGATATTTGAGCTGTTTTTGGATTAAATTTTACTTGCCGTTATATAGCTTTTGCAAATAACAAGGGGTATCAAAACGATAATTTCTCAACAGAATTTCAAATTCTCAACAGAGAAAATAAAAGTGGTAAATTCAGTGCTGCTTCCCTTGGTATACCTGTATACTCAAGAAATAAAAAAAAAAAAAAAGTTTCATAAGCATCCTTTACAAAAAGTTCTTCACATGAAAATGTTTCGTTATTATACTTTTTGGTACCATGGCACCATTTTCTGCAGGATACTCGTCATATCAAATATACATACAATCGTTTTGTCGCAGGACAAAAATATAAGCCTACTTTAAAATAACAATATTTCTTTGTTCCAGTATCCAGATATACAACGGCCAATCGACCAGCAATCAACTTTGGCATTGTCATCAGAAGAGCTTTCGAGGAGAGACCGCTCCTGAGTGTCCGCATTCCCTATGAATGCACAGGCAGCCAGGGTAAAAGATCTACAGGTGAGTCAGCGCTATAATTCTAGCCAGTATCAACTTTTATTTTAAATACTATGATTAGTAATCCACGAAAAACTACATATATAAATTCAAAACTCACAGAAATATACATATCTGCATAAGAAATGTGATAGTTGAAAATGAAGATACACGTTGCTATCACGTGGGTGGATTCACATATCATAACATAGATGAATTTTATAAATTCCCTTTCCTAAAATTTCCATTTTTTTAAGTGGTTGGAATTTCCATGGTATAGTTATCCCAGAGCGCCAAAGAGCACATTGTTCCAAATGAATGAACATTTATTTGCCAACGAGGTTTGACTCCTTCAATATTCCCTGGAATAAAAACTGATAATTACTGATGGGTAACCAAACTAAGTGTCATTTTGTTTCGTTCTAGGTACAGAAAATAGTTCAACATCAGCTTCGAGCAGACCTCGGCCAAATTCAAGCGGAACCTCCAAGGCGAAGCGAACCAGAACCGCGTATAGCGCACACCAGCTTGTACAATTGAAGAAACAATTCCACACTGAGAAGTATTTGTGCCGACGCCGGCGCATCGTAATGGCACAAGAATTAAGTCTAACGGAACGCCAAATCAAAATCTGGTTCCAAAACCGGAGGATGAAGTATAAAAAGGAAGAGAAACAAAGAGTGTCATCTCCTACTCTGAAATTCGCTTCATCCGCTGCTAGTCCGACTACCACACCAGGAATCCAATCGATAAGACCTAAACACCATTTGGTGACAATGAGGCAGGTTGGTCATGAAACGTGCATGCCACCGATGCTACCGACAAACCAGAGGGAAGATAACGTTTGGTATAACCAGTATAGTTCGTACCAACGTATCCAACTAGATACGAATTATTATCAATACATGCCTCAGAATCATAACTGCTATCCTGTGCACGTCGAACAACCTGTGGAGAGTAATCCATCGTGTCAGCCTTGCCTCAACACTCATCCCACCTCAACAAGTACAGAACAGCCAAATCAATCTTTGGAACAGAAAAATGAGTATTCTGTTGCATGGATCAGCCAATATTTAGGTAACGAAGGTGCCACTGAGAGTCTCATTAGTTTATAAATTGATTGTACTTGTAATGTCTCTATAGAAATTATTTAGGGTGGGTTTCACCAAGGTTGTCAAATCAACAGTCCGTTATTCTCCACCTATAGGGTAACAGTCCGTTAAATACAACGAATGAGCTTCAAGTTCCAATCAACAAATTTTAGGAACCAGTAACTATGAAATGTTGAAAACAAAATACTGCAAAGTATGAGATGACATCTTGTCATTGAAACATCACCAGCTTATTGAATATTAAGAAATTACATATAGTTCAGTCATAATTTAAAGAAATGTTTGATTTTTGAATTAAATTCATGCTTTAATTACCATTGTTGATTTTTATTCATGTTTATATTATTTTCTTCAATTGATATGTAATTTTACTGATATAACATCACCTCCCGTGTTTTTGTTTTCCTATAAACCTCTTACAGATAGCCATTAAGCACCTACTTGATGACAGGCTCTACCAAAAAGTTGATAGATATTGCTCGTTTCCAAACATTCATTCATTTACTTGCCGTTCATCAGAACCATTATGGCAAGCTAGATTGATATTCCCACAAAACCATTCAGGTCTTTTGATATCCATACATCCATAAAGTTGAATTTTTTTCGTTGTTCATGAACTGAACAAACATCCACACTATATTCACAGCGAATAAGAAATTCCCAAATATATGCCTTAAAGCTACCAGCAAACCTAAAACCTGCAAAAAAACTACAAATTTGCCATATTTTTCTTTTTTCACGAGTACACATTATAGGTTATATTTATATTAGACATTATTTGAATACAGTTGATTATTGTATTTCAAGACTCATCGAGTGGCACATGTGTGGGATCTGTGAATCCTTGGTCCCAGTAACAAAACATATACTCTGAAGAAGGTTTAATTCCATGCTATTCAATGACAACACGGTGACTTGTGTGGTTGTCAGCGGCCATTTTGTGAGGGTGCGATATGGTTGCCAGATTGTGCATTAATATCCCTTTTCACCTTCCTGGTCCCAGTGGAGTAAGCTTCGCCAACTGTTGAAATATACTCTACTATGCTTTATAAGAGTATTCGTGGAATTTTTCCCAAAATCGTTGCACAACACTTGGAAATGCAAATGAAAATTTAAAATTATTTCCATGACGCCGCAAAATAGCTCCGTCGGTACCTTGGGTTATACATCTTGAGAGTAAGGATGTTCGATAGGATCCTATATTTAGAAGTATCAATACATTTCACGAGTATCGTCATCTTTCGTTCCGGACTGTGTCAGAAAGAGTGACTGCCATTTGGCTGCGACATTACCCTACCAAATCAGACAGATCTTTCATCATTTTCAAAGAAGTTGTACAAAATCTTCAAATTTGTGAAGTTAGCGAGTTTCACTTATATATATATATATATATGAGCTTTCTTATATTTGTTCATCAATTTGATGATACAACACATCTGCTAAAGATGATGATAATCAGGATAGTATGACGAAGGTCCACTGTATGTAAGAATTTTCAGATACTTGATTTGCAATTTGACAACAGAAGATGACGGCGTCCACATTTTTCAAATATGCTTCAAGAAGTGTTATCAGTCTAGCTCCAACTATCATAAGTACTATGTTTGTATTCCTACTAATTGTAAAAGATTCATGTCGCGCCCTTCACCACGGGACGTGATCGTCGTTAGACGTGGCAATCCTGCGAGTGACAGATAGATGACCCCACCAGTGAAAAAGGCAATCAAACAATAAATTTTATGTCATTTTTATGATTTTTGGACTTAAAAGACATTATTGGTGAGACATTTTTCATAATTTTTTGTCTATGACCATAGTAATTGCATTATGCACCATAGAGATGTAGGGATTGACAAGTCTTACACATATTATCTGTGTTTTAGGATGGAAAGGACAATGTCTTAGTTGCTTTGAAGAAATTCATTAACTCGTAAATTAATAAATGATTACTATTATGATGTAAAGGAAGCTGAGGAATTGGATGGAATGTATTTTATATTCTATTTTCTTGCAAAATACAGACAAATTCACACTATTCAACAGGTATGTAATGATAACAGTATATTGAACTTAAATTCGAGATTGCCATGCATTAACAAACGTTCAAATCTACTGCCAAATTTAACAGCTAGAAAATCGACCTATTATTTGCCGCATTCCCATTGGCTTTTGGGGATTGTTAAATGTAAATTTATAATACAAATCAAAATACATGAAAGTTGACCTGTTTTCTCTGTACAAAAGCATCATGTTGGAATCAAGAAGTGGTCTTGTTTATAATACAGTCGAATTTTCACGATTTTATTCAATATTTTAATAGAAATCACTGATATTCGGAGACCTTTGACAGCTTCTGTCAAATTGCATTTCGATAAGGTATTTTCGCATTGGTCCATAATATTAATGCTGGTGAAATCGGCTCTTAGACCCGTATCGTCAGTCGTCCCTACAATTGTAGGGCGCGTTTATGGCCTCCTAGATTGTCATACTCTTTTCTCTCCTTCAAGAATTTCTAGATTACACTCGACCCGTGTCAGGGTCAGCGCTCTCCTATTGTGAAGATATGTTTTCCTTTTAAATTGTAGGAAATTTCAGGCTGATAAAACATGATATAACTCAAAAGCAAGCACAATTTGATGCAAATAGATGTTTGTGACATAACCTCAAAATAGAGCGTTGACACGGAGAAGTATAAAAGTATGACAATCAAGGAGGCCATAAACGCGCCCTACAATTGTTGGGACGACTGACGATACGGGCCTTAGTGTGTTTTTTAATTTGTGTAAGTTGCAAGCAGTAAATTGACTTTTTTGTACATTATGCTCGTTTTTAAATATACCTTTTCGCTCCCAAACAAATAAACGAGTTAAAAATATTGACTCAAAGCTCACTTCGCATCCGCGGCAAAATCTAAATTTGAAAAAATTCACTAATATTTAAATTTAACGGAGGCTTTCACCAATAAGGGAGCATATCGTAATGCAACTTGACGAAGTCATTCAAAGATCTCTAAATCTCAGTAATTTCTATTGAAATATTGAATAAAATCGTGGAAAAGCGACTGCTTTATAAATAAGGGTACATTATAGATGTAATATTATGTCTTTGAGCTTCAAAATTAGGATAACTTTCATAGAAGTGCCAATTTCTACCATTTCATAAAAGATACGAAACTTATTTGAATGGACCAATGACAATTCAAGAAATAATAGGTCTCACTTCTAGCTATTAGATTTAATAGTATGTTTTCACTGTTTTTGACGAATGTCCATGCAAGGCAATCTATTTTTGTCTTTAAATCGCATACAGTGTTGTACATACTACGTACCTGTATAAATATACCGATTTTTTTTATATGCAAAATATGATATAAAAAGTATACTGATTCATTATATTTTGTCATATCAAAAGCAATTTATTGAAAATTTATTATCTATAAATTCACGCCAAATGTAAACTAACCGCAAATTCTGCATTCCTGGGTCCTAAAACATTGATATTTGTAAATGTAACCGCATCCACCTATTATTCATCGTCTAGATATTCTAAGTCAGAATCAAATTTAGGAAAATATTTGCAAAACTTGTTATATTTTTCAGTTGTTTTTAATATTATCATAACACCTCTGGGATATCAATTGCCCTAGAAGTTATCTGCAGTGTTGCCGAACCGGAAAAAAACAGAATTCGTGAATATTGCCGATGAATTCATAAGAGAAAAAGCATAAGTTAAGTCGCGCTTTTACCCTGGAACAGAAATATGGATAAATATAAATATCTAAGATAGCAAAGTTGATCAACACGACGACTAGCAACAGGTAGGAAGAAGCTAATCGTGTATTTCCGCATTTTGTAACTGTAACTAAAACTTTTTGTAAAAATTAGTGTCCACTAAAAAATAGTATTGATTATTGTGGTTCTTGAAAGTTTTCTCCTCTAATGTTCTAATCTATGGATTGTATTTCTGCTATTACACGGCCAATAAACAAAATAATGAGCACGAATCACTTTGATAGCTTAAACTGATTTGAGATTGCATCAAATATGGATACATATATTTTGAAACGGGTATTGAAAACAGGTAATTCTATATTAGACCTTATAGTCATATAAAAAAGTTAAAGTGGGACAACTAATAGTCAAATATATTTATAATTGATCTTTATATGGCCTCCGTCAATGGTGCCAACGATTCCAGGAAATCTATATTTTATGGTAGAAATACCGCTTTGTCCTATATATTTCTTCTTCTGTTGACCATTTTACGATTTCTTGTGCCAGACTACTCAAAAAGTTGGTCAATCTGGATATAACTGCTAGCTGGGTACCCACAAAAACATTGAACCTATCAACTATATCCCTGACAATGGCTGTTTGATATCCAGCAAACCATAAAAATGTACTGAGTTAGCTTTCCATATGGCGCTGCCTGATATTTGAAATAGTTACCACGACGGAATTTCACTGAAATTTTTTCTGCGACTGTATTGCTCGCTCTAAAATGTTACAAAACTCACTGTTGAAATCGTGGTACCAATTCCTCCACAAAATTCAGGTTTTTGGGTTTCATTCTCGGAGTATTCGCTGCTTGGTTTATCGCTCATAGTTTTTTCCACTCCGAAGCAGCCGCGCAGGCAAAGCCTAAACGCCAGGGCAGCAAGGCTGCTATGAGGAGCTTAAAGTAATTTCGATAATCTGGTGTTTAAACTTCCTAAGGTTATTAGAACTGGGAAAAGCCTCCGCATCTCCCTCACAATCTCGATACACTATCAGTCAGGCGGGTCTATCTGGCAGGGACACCGCGCGGCGGCATCATCGAGGAGAGCTCTGAGGAGCAAATCTTAGCAGTAGAGGAGAGCTAGATCGTGGACGGCCCACCGCTGCGAAAGTGTCCCCAGCCTGTCCGTTAGAGAAGAGTCATCGATCAGTAAATGCCTTGCGCGACCTCTAGATAGTTTCGACACAT